TTCAATCTTCATGTGATGTTAAAATCTGGAAACTGTGTTATGGCATGGATGTTTTATGCCCTTGAATTCATGGAATTGCCTACTTACATATCAGCATATCTTGGCATGTTATTATGTGTATTATGGTTATGTTGTTTATCTTCCTCGCTTTATGGATGCATGCCTATGTGGATATTATTGTCTTGCAAGTTGAATTAACTTGATTTAAAGCATTTAATTTAACGGGAAACCTAATTGGGAGGGTATTGGGTTTTCGCGCACTTGAGTAATGAAAAGATGAGAAATGTGATATATGGATTGTTGGGATGCTTCCCTATTTGAAAGTTAAAGTCTTGCGCAAGTGGTTTTCAGAAACCCTTGAACGGAGCGGTTGTATTCGGACCCTAGGTGGTTTGGTGTAAGGAGGGATTTCGGGCAAGGCCCTATTTTACCGCTCTTTTGAGGCCTTGCGGTTGGCGCTACACGGTATATAACCGTTGGTAGGCATCCGAGGTTAGGTCTGCAACAAAGCAGCAAAAGAGGGGGCATACCGAATAATCCGCGTCCGATTCTTGTGGTTGGGAGGACGGAATCTTCTTTGGGAGATTTCTAGTTGCTAAACATCTAACTTAAACCCTTCATTTATTTATTGAAGTATCATGCTTTATTACTTGATGTTATAATTGTGATTGTGTAATTGGACTGGTATTGGCTGGGGAAAAAAAAAAAAAAAAAAAAAAAAAAAAAATAAATAAAAAAAAAAGAAAAGGGTAGGGTGTGTGTGTGTTTACTGGGCATTCAAAACTCACGGCGTATCATGCCAGGTGACGAAGCGGAACTCATAGCTGGAGACAACGAGCCCGAAACTTTTGAAGACTTTTGGTTATCCTAGAAAAAAATTAGAAGTTTCTTTTTGGATGTTTTGTAAAGACTCATTTGAAGACTTAAGCTTTCTTCTGGAATGTAATGTAATGGAACTATCTTTTGAGTTATATATATATTGATTGTTATATATTCTATGTATGAACCCTTTCGTTACTTATGAGACCTTGTGTCAATACCTTTTAAGATCTGTCAAAAGGGTAGTGCGTTGCCTAAGAAGGCTGGACTTAGAAGGGAGGCTATTTTGACTCCTTCGGCGATCTGGGATCTTACTTGGTTATTGACCATAGGATTCATTAGTGACTCTCTCTTGACTGCAACCTATAGTGTAGAATCGGGGCGTCACAACTTGGTATCAGAGCCTAGGTTCAACCCTTACCCATGCGTTTCGACCTGCGGTTAGAGACTACCTTGCCCTGACTATGCTAGAATCTTTCTTGACCTATCTTAGGGAATTTCTTCGAATTTTGGGCACACCAACATCAACTCGTGAGGACCTACTTCAGGATCGTGAAATGGTTTTAACTTTGAGTGAGTCCTCACATCGCACAGTAAGGGGTACTATTAGTTCTACGCGTCTTCTATCGATTGTCATATCCTCATCTTGTATTCATAACCTTTATTCAATGTCATCATTTTCCAAGATTAAGTCTTGTCCATCTGGTCCTGTTTTATATACTACTATTTGTAAATTCGACCTCCTTTGACCCTTGATTATTTTATTTAGCCCAAGACTTCTTGTAAATAATTTCATTTTCTTTACTCGGTGATGAATCTTGGATATTCAGTTTGAAACGCGGATGGCCAACGCAGTTTCAAGTTAAATATCTAGTTTAGTCACTACATCTATAACCTTGATCACATTGAAATTCGAAACCATAACATCATACCATTCATCCATATTTCAGTTAATACTGACGTTATCACCATAACTGCTTTGTATTCTTCGTCTCCACTTTAATCCAATTTTAAGAATCTTGTAATTATTATTATGTATATATGAAGTTTTGTTGTGTGAACACCCTAAGATAATTAAACTCTAACTTAAGATCAGGAATTGCCTCTGTAGTTAGAATTTGACTTACGCCTCATCCCATTCAAAGAAAAATAAATGGTGGACCATACTTCGAGACAAGTAATAGCAGGAGCTTGCAAGCAACAATAGAAATGCAGTACCAGGAAATCAAAACCTTAAGAATGGACTAGTAACCATGGCTAAAATCCCGAACCCTATTAAGAATCAGATTTTGGAAGAGTCTTACCATCTTTGTGGAAATAATCGGCACAACATTGACTTCAGAATGAAATGAGGTAGAATTCAAGAGGATTTGGAGCTTATGGAAAGAAAACCCAACTTCATGAGGGACCAGAAAGGAGCAACCAGAAGGCAACTGGCAGAGTCTTTGCCTTGCAAGAGGAAGAAGCAGACCCGTCTGTAATCGAGGGTAATTTAGTGCCATGCAATTCTTGGGTGCATGTTTTATTTAATATTGGTGCATCACATTCTTTTATATCTTCTTCTTGTGCTAAATCATTAGAACTGGTAGGAGAACCCCTAAAAGCTGCCTTAGATGTAATGTCACTTATGGGAGGATGCGTTCGGATAAGATTGATCTGTAAGGACTGTAAAATAGGAATGTCAGACTTCGATATCATTTTGGGCATGGACTGGTTGTCTGCCCACCGAGCAGTGATCGACTGTCATCAGAGGAAAGTGGTAGCTCACACACAAGATGGAACACGTTTCCAGTTTAGGGGGGATAGACAAAACCCCATGGCTTCAACAAAACATCGGACGCAGTGGCACGATCAACTTACGGGTAGGATAGCAAGTCTGATTCTAAATGAGGAGGGCCTAGGAGAAATAGAACTTCCGCGCGTAGTATGCGATTATGCAAATGTATTTCCTATGGAATTACCAGGATTGCCGCCAACTCGGGAAGTAGACTTTAGCATCGAGCTGCAACTTGGAACTACCCCAATATCCATGGCTCCGTATCGTATGGCACCAGCAAAACTACGAGAATTGAAGACACAACTACAGGAATTGCTCGAGAAAGGATTCATTAGGCCAAGTATTTCGCCATGGGGAGCACCCGTGTTGTTTGCTAAAAAGAAGGATGGATCGTTGAGGCTATGCATCGATTATCGTCAACTCAATCGAGTCACGATTAAGAACCGCTACCCACTCCCAAGGATTGATGACCTTTTTGACCAACTTAGAGGCTCAAGGTGCTATTCAAAGATCGATCTTAGGTCAGGTTACCATCAACTACGAGTCAAGGAGGAGGATATACCAAAGACTGCCTTTCGTACTAGATATGGCCACTATGAGTTTGTAGTAATGCCCTTCGGACTAACCAACGCACCGGCAGTATTCATGAGCCTAATGAATAAGATTTTTAGACCATACCTTGACCAGTTTGTAGTAGTATTCATTGATGACACCTTGGTATATTCAAGGTCTGAAGAAGAGCATGAGCAACATTTAAGGACTGTCCTCCAAGTTCTTAGGGATAATCGGTTATATGCCAAGGCGAGTAAATGTGAGTTCTGGTTGAATGAAGTAAAATTCTCGGGGCATGTGAATGGGATTGCGATGGATCCAACCAAGGTGGAGGCAGTATTAGATTGGAGACAACCAAACCGTGTCAGAAATCTGTAGCTTCTTAGGATTGGCCGGTTATTACTAGAGGTTCATCGAAGATCTCTCCAAACTAGCTAAACCAATGACTCGTTTGACACAAAAAGGAGTAAAGTATGAGTGGGACAAAGCTTGCGAAAAATCCTTCCAAGAGCTAAAGAAGAGGTTACCTAGTGCGCTAATTTTTGACCATCCCAGAAAGAGAAGAGGGGTACACTGTGTATTGCGATGAGTCTAAAGAAGGGTTAGGTTGCATGCTCATGAAAAATGAAAAGGTAGTCGCCTATGGATCCAGGCAGTTGAAACCACATGAGCTCAACTACCCCACACATGACTTGGAATTAGCGGCTGTAGTTTTTGCCCTAAAACAATGGCGACATTACCTGTATGGGGAACAATTTGAGATTTTCGCAGATCACAAGAGTCTGACGTATCTATTCACGCAAAAGGACCTTAACTTGAGACAGAGACGATGGATGGAGTACCTTGAGGATTTCCAGTTCACTCTCTCATATCACCCCGGTAAAGCCAATGTAGTAGCAGATGCTCTACGTCGCAAGAGTAGGGGGATGATGGCTAAGATCTCTGTTAAGGAATGGGATATGGTTAAGACACTCAATGAGTTCAGGATCCAAGTAGAATCTCAAGATACAAAAGCATATCTTAGTACGCAGAAGGTGATACCCAAGTTGATGAATGAGGTCATGGAGGCCCAAAAGCATGATCAAGAGGTAGCCTACATCAAGGGATGTTTGGAATCAGGAGAGCCCATGCCCGATTGGGTAATTCACCCCGATGGGAGTTTAAGATACCAATGTAGATTATTTGTACCAAGTGACGAGTTACTTAGGGAAACGGTACTGAAGGAATGTCATCATTCTGCATTCGCGGTACATCTAGGAGGGACTAAAATGTACCAAGATTTGAAGAGGCGGTATTGGTGGAATGGAATAAAGAAGGAAGTGGCTAAATTTGTAGCAAAATTTCTGACCTGCCAACAAGTGAAGGCGGAACATTATAAACCAGGGGGGAATGTTGCAACCTCTACCAATAGCCGAATGGAAGTGGGAGTACGTGACAAAGGACTTTGTGACAGGGTTGCCTAAGTCACCTAGAGGGCGCGATGCTATATGGGTAATAGTGGACCCCCTCACCAAGTCAGCGCATTTCTTACCCTATAAGATGGCCGACACTTTAGAGTCTATGTGCGGACTCTACATTGGGGAGATCGTTCGACTACATGGAATTCCGGTATCTATTGTGTTAGATCGTGATCCACGATTCACCTCTCGATTTTGGGGAAGCCTGCAGGAAGCTCTTGGTACGGAGTTATGTTTTAGCACCGCCTTTCACCTGCAGACAGATAGACAATCTGAGCGCACTATCTAGACACTCAAAGATATGCTAAGAGCTTGCGCAATGGATTTTCAAGGAAGTTGGGCACCTACCCCTAATTGAATTCGCCTACAACAACAGCTTTCAAGCTAGCATCGACATGGCGCCTTTTGAAGCATTATACGGACGACCTTGCAGATCGTCGATTTGTTGGACGGAAGTGGGTGATGCAAATCTAATAGGGCCCGAACTTGTTCTAGAAACTACTGAGAAGGTCAAATTGATCCGACAACGGTTAAAGATTTCCCAAGACCATCAAAAGAATTATGCAAACAGGAGGAGAAGACCATTGATGTTTGAAGTAGGCAGCCACGTGTTCCTAAAGGTACAACCCAGGTGTGGAGTCGTACGTTTTGGGAGAAAGGGGAAGCTGTCGCCACGATATATTGGACCTTTTGAGGTATTGGAAGGAGTGGGCGAAGTAGCATATAGATTAGGTCTACCCCTGCAGTTAGCAAGGATACACAACGTCTTCTATGTATCCCTGTTGAGAAAATACATCGTTGACCCGACACACATCCTCAAATGGGAAGAGATCAGTCTTAACAAAGATGTTACGCTTAAAGAAGGATCGGTAGCAATACAAGATCATCGAGAAAAGAACCTTAGAGGCAAGACGGTTCACTTGGTAAAAGTGCTATGGCGTCATCGGGGAGTTGAGGAATCTACTTGGGAACGTCAGGATTGGGTGAAGGCAAACTACCCCGAGCTTTTCGAAGACACTATGTAGTTGAATTTCGAGGACGAAATTGTTTTAAGGGGGATAAGTTGTGAAGCCCCCGAAATATGTATTCACTTTGAAAACCCTAATGTTTGAATTATTTTTCTTAAAGCCCCACGTTTACTTAAATTAATTCGAATCTTGTCGGTTAGCATTACTATTTTTATTTTTATCGAAACAGGAATTTCCCTAACCGGATTAGGATCCCTAACCTAATTTAATTCTACATAAGTTACATGTATTTAACTCCAAGCCGTCACTCTTTATTTAAATTCTAAACTTACCCAAGAACTAGTACTTGTACCTTGTACCTTGAGTACCATCAATCTTGTAAAATACATATATACATATATATACACCTAGAGGAGTGTGCCTAGAACCTAAAATGATTTAAATAATAACCCCATCACACTTCCCCAAGGAGGAGCCAATTTTCAAGAACCACCATCATGATGTTCTAGGAAAACCAAGACCTAGTACCCTAGACCTAGGGTGATGTTTTCAAAACTAGTTTCCTTTCAACTAAGAATCAACCAATTGTTGCATAATCCTATGGTTCAACTCCAAAACCACCCCTATTCCATTAGATTCCAAGCAAAATCCTAACTTTTCCATCCATATCCAACTAAGTGGCTTTTAGGACTTTTTGCCTCAAAGGTTTGTCTATAAATACCAATACACCCCCTAGCTTGCAAACACACACAACACACTCACTCACGCACACATTTCGGTTAGAGAGAAGGAGGAGAGCAAGAGGGAGAAGTCTAGAGGAGAAGGAGGAGGAAGAAGAAAGCTTTCTTGTGCAAAGCTTAGTAGGTAAGCCACAAACACAACCTTCCTTCATTTTCTTTTTCTAATACATGTTTCTAAAAGTTCTAAATAATGTTTTCAGATCTGTTATTAATAAGTTCTTATGTTAAAAATGCTAAGGATTGAGTATTGATTCCATCTCTCTTGTATTTTTCCCATTTTGGCACAAAACCATCTTCTTTTTGTACCAATCTCTCAACTTTTCAAGAGCACTTTTTCAAAAAAAAAAAATTTGAGTTAAACATGTGATAGTTAGCATATTTTCTTCACAAAAGAAATGAGACTTTCCCTTGGTGGAACCCCTTTTTCATAAATCTTCTTGTTTTGGGCAAAGCACCTTAGAATAAGTTTTTGCAGCCCACTTCCAGAAATTCTAGAAAAATGTACAAAATTATCCTAAACCTCTATTTTATGTCAAAACCTTCCTTAAGATGTTATCTTTCAACTAAAATTGGTTTCATCGAAAAACATCAAGCGGTTTGCAAGAAAATCAAATTTTCGTAACGGTCGACGGATCTGGACAGATTATGGACATCGCTGGAGTATTTTCTAAACAACTTAAATCTGGAAAAAAGCAATCCCATTTCCGGAAAGTGTTCTAGAAACTAGATCAAATTCTCTACGAACCATAGGGAGACCGAGTCTGGTGGAAGATCTAAAATAGCCCTTTTATTTCAATCTTCATGTGATGTTAAATCTGGAAACTGTGTTATGCATGGATGTTTTATGCCCTTGAATTCATGAAATTGCTTACTTACATATCAGCATATCTTGGCATGTTATTATGTGTATTATGGTTATGTTGTTTATCTTCCTCGCTTTATGGATGCATGCCTATGTGGATAATATTGTCTTGCAAGTTGAATTAACTTGATTTAAAGCATTTAATTTAACGGGAAACCTAATTGGGAGGGTATTGGGTTTTCGCGCACTTGAGTAATGAAAAGATGAGAAATGTGATATATGGATTGTTGGGATGCGTTCCCTATTTGAAAGTTAAAGTCTTGCGCAAGTGGTTTTCGGAACCCTTGAATGGAGCGGTTGTATTCGAACCCTAGGTGGTTTGGTGTAAGGAGGGATTTCGAGCAAGGCCCTATTTTACCATCTCTTTTGAGGCCCTGCGGTTGGCACTACACGGTACATAACCGTTGGTAGGCATCCAAGATTAGGTCTGCAACAAAGTAGCAAAAGAGGGGGCATACCGAATAATCCGCGTCCGATTCTTGTGGTTGGGAGGCCGAAATCTCTTTGGGGGATTTCTAGTTGCTAACATCTAACTTAACCCGTCATTTATTTATTGAAGTATCATGCTTTATTACTTGATGTTATAATTGTGATTGTGTATTGGACTGGGAAAAAGGGGTAGGGTGTGTGTGTGTTTACTGGGCATTCAAAGCTCACGGCGTATCATGCCAGGTGACGAAGTGGAACTCATAGCTGGAGACGATGAGCCCGAAACTTTTGAATACTTTTAGTTATCCTAGAAAAAAATTAGAAGTTTCTTTTTGGATGTTTTGTAAAGACTCATTTGAAGACTTAAGCTTTCTTCTGGAATTTAATGTAATGGAACTATCTTTTGAGTTATATATATTGATTGTTATATATTCTATGTATGAACCCTTTCGTTACTTATGAGACCTTGTGCCAATACCTTTTAAGATCTGTCAAAAGGGTGGTGCGCTGCCTAAGAAAGCTGGACTTACAAGGGAGGCTATTTTGACTCCTCCGGCGATCTGGGATCTTACTTGGTTATTGACCATAGGATTCATTAGTGACTCTCTCTTGACTGTAACCCATAGTGTAGAATCGGGGCGTCACATAATTACTAATATTAATAATAATAATAATTTAGCTTGTTGTAGCCCATTTTTGCATAATGCAGTTATTTAATTTAACTGTTTTGTTAGTGGTTCTTATTTCTTTAATTTCAATTTAATTGTTAGTTTAATTGGTTTGTTTTTATTTTTGTTTTAATTGTTTAGTTAGTGATTTTAGTTTTATTTTTTATTTAGTGACTTAATTATTAGTTTAATTGTTTAGTAGTTTAGTGTTTTATTTTTATTTTTTGTATTTTTATTTTATTTTATTCTGTTCTATTTTCTTTTCTTTTCTTTCCTTTTCCTCTACTAACTTATTTATTTATTTATTTATTTATTTCATACTTTGGTTTGCCTATTTTTCTTTAAGTTGGTTATTTATTTCATTTTTATTTTCTTTAAAAAAAATTGAAAAAAAAAATTTGGTGGTGGGATGACAATGACATTTTGAGTGATTTGTGTATGCATGCGCTATTTGATGAGTGTTGATATAATAGTTTCACGTTTTTGGCTGTGTTGGTTGTATTATTTTGTATAGATATATCTACATCATCCTGCCGAGCACCCAAACGAGCTCGCAATGCTAACATCGCCGCTAGGGATGTACCAGCCGACACCTGGGCTAACAAACCAATTGCCTATGACACACCTTTGGATGTGGACTTCTTCCACCGCCATCAACCCACTGCGTGGAGTGTCCGACAACTTGAAGATCGGGACCTCCTAGCATCTGCACCGTCACTGAACCGGCGTATCCTCACATTGTGCGAGTCTTTTATCAGAATGTGTACATTAGTGACGAGGCCCTAGGAGCTCATTTGTCCATTGTTGACGGAGTGGAGTTAGTGGCACACCGGCTTCCATTGCCGAGGTTCTCCACTGTTCCATGGACACTACCAATGAAGAGCAGATCCCGGTGTTCACTCGGGAACTCACAGTCCCAGCACTGGTGATCAAATTTTATGAGGGGCGACAGGATGATGACAACTGAACTAGTATCCGGTGGGCTAACTTACCGCGCTGCCTCCTCTTCCTTAATGTGGGTCTAAAAATAATGTCATCCTTCTAGGCCACAAGAAAGAGTGGCGAGGGGATTTCCTCCATGCCTTGCATAAATTTGACTTTGGGTTTTGGGTCGACATCCCTATTTTGATCTTTAACCAGATGGCCCGTATCCTTAATGAAATCAAATTCCGCAACACCTGAGGCGGTTCTACATGGGCCCTCCCTTTCGCGAACCTCATCATTGCACTCATAAAAGGCCAAGGGACATACCCACTCGAACCCATTGAGGTTTAGCTTCCGCTACCAATGCTTTATGGTACAATGACGCCAAATCGCTGCTCCCCTGCCACCTCCACTACTCCTCTCCAGCCAATCCTAATGATGTTCCGGTAGAGCCAGCCATCGCGCCAGCGCCATTCCGTATGACGCGGGTGTAACATCGGCTCTTTTGGATAATCAAGCCACTATTCAGCAATCTGTGGTTGATCTCCAGGCCGACTATCAAGCATATCGGGATTACTCATAGATGGCATTTGATGGGGATCAATAGTCAGCTGCATCTTTGTAAACTGACTTCTACGCATATCGGGAGTTGAGCCAGCAGCGTTTTGATTAGCTTGGCACTAGGGTTTATGATGAGGCATTCGAGACTTGGACGCTAATGCATGCCCTATTTGAGCAACATTTTCCACCACCGCCGGATCCAAATCAGTGATATCTATTATATTTTCTTTGTTTTATTTCTTTATTTATTTTTGTTTTGTTTTATTTTATTTTTATTTTTCTTTTATATTGTATAGTCCCTAAAAAAATGTATGTGTGTGTGTGCGTGTGTGTTTGGTGTGTCCTTGCCTCGCTGGATGTGCACCTACACCGTCTTGTAAGATCCTCTGTCTCTCATTTTACTATCTACTTTCCACTTGCTTACATTGAGGACAATGTTGTATTCTAGTTGGGGGATGAGGGTTTTTATAAAAACAATTCATGTTTGTACTTGCTGCATTTGATTGCACCACTTCACTTGATGTTCACTTTGTACTAGTATGGTAGTGATATGAGCATATGTTAATTAGGGAACATAGTGGACTTGTATGAAAAGTGTTTATTGGGTAAATACTTGTATGTGATGTTTGCACTAGAAGAGTTGTTTGTATTTGTGGTATTAGTACACTTGTCATGAGTATGCCTTGATTCACATGAACACACTTTCATAGTGGTGACCTCTCTATTCTAATCCCTAGTGTACATCATTGATAATTGCTAGTGTTGCAGAAAATAATAAATGAGTAGCCTTGATTCTCAGATTTTTTTTTAAAAAAAAAAAAAAAAAAAAAAAACAAACAAACAAACAAACCCTTGATTTGTTTGGGTTCGTAA